TGGAATGAAAACTGACCTTTTCCAGTCCTGTGGCCACTGCTGAGTTTTCCAAATTTGCTGGCATATTGAGTGCAGCACTTTCACAGCATCATCTTTCAGGATGTGAAATAACTCAACTGGAATTCCATCACGTCCACTAGCTTTGTTCGTAGTGATGCTTTCTAAGGCCCACTTGACTTCACATTCTAGGATGTCTGGCTCTAGGTGAGTGATCACACCATTGTGATTATCTGGGTCGTGAAGATCTTTTTTGTACAGTTCTTCTGTATATTCTTGCCACCTCTTCTTAATATCTTCTGCTTCTGTTAGGTCCATACCATTTCTGTCCTTTATTGAGCCCGTTTTTGCATGAAATGTTCCCTTGGTATCTCTAATTTTCTTGAAGAGATCTTAATCTTTCCCATTCTATTGTTTTCCTCTATTTATTTGCACTGATCACTGAGGAAGGCTTTCTTACCTCTCCTTGCTGTTCTTTGGAACTCTGCATTCAAATGAGAATATATTTCCTTTTCTCCTTTGCTTTTTGCTTCTCTTCTTTTCAAAGTTATTTGTAAGGCCTCCTCCGACAGCCATTTTGCCTTTTTGCATTTCTTTTCCATGGGGATGGTCTTGATCCCTGTCTCCTGTATACAATGTCACGAACCTCTGTCCATAACTAACCCTTAATGTACAGCAGAAATTGTGAGGGAATGCCTCAGGGAACTCCAGAAATAAACAGTAGTGGGTATAATAATTGTATCTTCATATATTGCTTCTATACTAGTTTCTACACATCTGGGATTCCAAGTAAACATACATTCTTTTTCACTGTATTTTTTATGTTTTTTACTTTCCCATAAAAGTAAACAATTTGGTATTTTCCATCTTTTTATAAGTTTGTGCATCAAGAGTAGTTTCTCTCTTTTATCTACAGTTCTCCAATTCTTTCTTTAACCGTGTCTAATTCACTACAGGATCAATTTATGTTCTTTGTTTATTTTCCAGTTCTGAAACTACATTTTCCTCAATTTTTGAATTTTGCATTTTACAATTTCCAACTTATTTGCAAAAGTGTTAGCTCATTGGAGTTTTTTTTGACCATTTTGTGCCTACTTCCAATGTCCAGAATCAATTTGTTTTTTTTGTTTTTTTTGTTTTTTTCTCATTTATGGTGTCCATTCTCTTTTTGTTTGGTTACTGTTGACTGTGTATTAAGCACTACATTTTAAAAGTTATTGACAGAAATAATTTGAGGCTTATTAATTAATATATTATTTTCATCCAGAGAGGTTTTCTTTGTATCTGCCTGGTGTCCTGGAAATGATAGCAATCTTGGGTCACTTTAACACTGGTTAAAGACTTTTAAGTTTTCTCATTTATTCTGAAGCCAGTTGCAGTTTTTTTTTGTTTTTTTTTTTTACTATTGATCTACGCTTACCTTTAAGATACCAGCCTTCAGGTATTTAGCCCAAAATAGTGGGTGGTTTTCAAAGATCAATTCTAATTTTTGATGACTTATACCTATGAGACTAGCAAATGTTCAGTTAGAGTAGTTTCCCCTTTCAGAGCAGCAAATTCCTATTAGGCCAAAGTGACCCTAAGTACTGGCTTACATTTTAAAGTTTCTAACCTTTCATTGGTTCAGTAATTTCTCCCCACTTTATTAGTTTTTTGATATTAAAAGGTAAATATTAATCTAGTTATTTCCATTGGAAATATTGTCCCATGTTACTTAGTTAGCTTTCATTACTGGTAGGAAAATATCAAGGTTTATCTGGACATAAAACTCTATGCTTCAGTTTAAATAAGTATGCTTTATGAGTTTTTGCATGACAAGAACTTCAGAATTCTAATATAGATAGCTAGGCAAAGCATATAGCCTTGCCATAAATTTATAGCCTTAGACGGAAAAAAAAAAAGCATCAGTGCCTTCAATAATAATGTCCCCTTTCCAAGCTCTCACAGGACTTATCAGAAGGAGCAATGGATTCTTTGAAGAGTCTGGAGATGGAATAAGCAAAATTAACAAATACAAATATTCTTTACTATTGAAATCAAATTCTCTATTTCATCTGAGTTTAGAATAGTTCAAAACAGGGAAAATCTCCCCCATTTTAACGCCATGATTTTCTTATAGAAAAAATGCAGACAAGACTAGACATGAAGTCCTGGCATGGGTGGATGGTATCTTGAGTAAAGGAGACCCAGGTGACATATATTGTGAGTAACCTTTTTATTCCACGGCCACACACCCTAGTATACCTGACGACTTATGGGAGGTAGGCTCCTTTCTCTCTGTGGTGGAATCAGAAAAGGGAAAGGGAGAGGTGGGAAAAGGAGAAATCATCTTGAGAAACTACAGATAAATTTAGGGAGATCAGCTTTAGGAAGGAATAAATACAAGAGTTACAAAAATGCACATAGATTCCTTGAAGGTATCCATAACTTTACTGCTAATAGACATTTTTTTGGGGGGAGGTGACAAAAATGTTCAAAAATTAGACTGTGGTAATGGTTGTACAATTCAGTAATAGCCAAAGAAAAACCCCATTGAATTGAATACTTCAAATGGGCAAGTTTTATGTTTTGTAAAATAAACCTCAGTAAACCTGCTTAAAAAAAGAAACATGTCACACTTATGTATTACTTGGAGGAATCTCCAAGTAATTTAAACATTAAGAGTTTAAAGTCTATTAAATTCACATAGAAAGATTCAGAAATATATCCAGCTTTCAAGTTTGACTTCATCTTTATGGTCAAGTCAGTTGCTTTACATCACTGGGTTTCAGCTTCCTCAAATAATATGAGATAAACACATTGTCTTGTCTAGAAGCAGGAACCAAAACATTTTTTTTTTTCAATTAATACATGGTAGGAGTGCTCCAGGTGAAGTGTAGGATACAAGGAAAAGACACTAATGGGAATGTGGTTTCAGCTGAAGTCTAGCTTTACTCTCTTTCTTCAAGGACGTCAGTCACCGGCAAGCCTGAGTGGTCATGACGCAGGATGTATTGTCCAGTTGGCGGCTGTCAGACACTTAGTGGCCACTGCTTGCTGCTACTGGGGAGGGTGCACTTGCCAGCAGTGGGGGCCTGCGTTGAATATACCATCACACCATCATCCACTTCACTCCTGTCCCACAGTGCTGTTGTAGGGATGCACAGACAATGCGACTATGCAATGACTGTGAACTCCTGCACAGGGCCTGACATGTAAGGAAGGAGTACTTTATAAATGGTAGCTATTAAAAAAAAAACTTACATGCTAGTTGACTAACAATGCTGTGATAGTTTCAGGTATATAGCAACGTGATTCCATTATACATACACCATTCTTCTTCAAATATTCTTCCCATTTAGGTTATTACAAAATACTGAGCAGAGTTCCCTGTGTTATACAATAGGTCCTTGTTGGTTATCCATTTTAAATATAACAGCATGTACATGTCAATCCCAAACTAACAATCCCTCTCCCCACCCAGTTCTTTAAGTCTGTGAGTTTGTTTCTGCTTTGTAAATAAGTTCATTTATATCATTTTAAGCGCTATCAACAATATTTTTCTCTCTTACTTGACTCAGTATGACAGCTATTTGTTTACAGGACATAAAATATCAAATACAAAATGAAATAAATTGATTACAAATATTACATAACCCATCTAGTAAGAAATTCTTACTGTAGATGTTGCTTCCTCATCAAACGTATATGGGTGATTTATTGAGTGTTCTCCATGATGCGGTTGGGAAGGAGTAACTTTCAGTGGGCTCGTCCAACCTGAAAACAAAAATGTATGTGGTCTGGGTACATACATATGAAATACATACATACAAAATGCAATAGAAATTTATTTTTCCACCAGAACTGTTTTCTCCTAGAAAGCTGAACTTAGTGGTGTTTATTTTTCAATGGGTTATCTAAAAACTTTTCTCATTGAGAACAGAACAGCTCTGAAATTTGTATATTAGGATAATTATACTAGTGTACAATTATCTGATACTTATTACTTATTATTGTTAGAGGTCTCTTGGGTACTATTAATCTGTATATGTGGATGTAGACATGTTGGAGATGGTGGTGACACAAGGAGTTTACTATGTAGATAATTAAACCTAATTATAAGAGACTAGCAAATATAAAAGCTGCCTTCAACAAATATTTACTGCCCCACGAATGAAAGAGGATGAATATTTAAAGATGGAAAAGAGGTTTCCTGGTTTTTAGGTGCTCATGAACGAATGGAAAAACAGACATGTGAGTAGGTAATGCAGTATAATGTGTTAACTCTAGTAACAGTTGAGCTCTGAGTGCTGAGGGAGTGCAGAGGACAGACATCTAATCCAGCAGATTGTAGAAAGTTAGCAACATCTTTTCGACAAAAAGACCTGATCTGACAACTGATTAAAACTCGGATAACAAGTGGCAGAAATAGAGTCATTCCAGATAGAGGAACAGTATGTGCGATGGCAGGCGAGACCTGCTGAGCAATATCAAAACTCATGATAAAATTACTGAAGGTTGGGTATAGCTAACATCTTGAAATGGCAGCCAGCGAATGGTAGAAGATAAACAAAAGAGGTCAGCCAAAGTCAGGACATGAAAGTCTTGGATTTAACCTTCAGAGAGATGGACATTACAAAGTCCTTAATCAGAAAGACTGATAACTTTGCAAATTACACTGGTTTGGACAGGAGACTAGTGTAGGTGTAGATAATGGTTGTACCATGGAGATCCTTTTCCTACTGCATGGGGGCTTCTAATTTGGTCCTCTACTTTTTAGCTTGGGGCTTTCCTGGGAGTTCAGCCAGTAAACAATCTGCCTGCAATGCAGGAGACCCTGGTTCAATTCCTGGGTCAGGGAGATCCACTGGAGAAGGGATAGGCTATCCATTCCAGTATTCTTGGGCTCCCCTGGTGGTTCAGCCGGTAAAGAATCCACACGCAATGCAGGAGACCTGGGTTCAATCCCTGGGTTGGGAAGATCCCCTGGAGAAGAGGATTACGCACTTTAGTATTCTGACCTGGAGAATTCCAAGGACTGTAGAGTCCATGGGGTCGCAGAGAGTCAGAAACGACTGAGCAGCTTTCACTTTCAACTTTTCAACTGTTTACCTTTGCCCCATAAATTAATCTAACTTAGCAGATGATGCACTAAAATGTTAAAATTTGGGGCTAGGTGGACAGTACATAGATGTTTAAACACAGATGAGAAGAGTTAGATGGGTTTGGGATAACACAGGAGTACCATGGTTACCATGGATACCAATCTGGTGGAGCTCTATAAGAGAGGGCTGCAATTCTTAGGGCTTAATGACATATATGCTTCCTGGCTAAGATGCCAGTGTGACCTCATGACTTATTTGACTCCCTCTGAGTCTTATTTTCCTCACCTTTAATGACTGCTGTCACAGTTGTAGAAACTTGTCAGTTGTAAAAACCACAACTATATTTAAAGGAACTGGCAAATTGGCATGGAGTCCACAACTTTATTAATTATCAATTAGGAGCTGTAACATTATTAGTACCGACAGAAGTAACATCATTTTCATAATGATGATGATGATTCAGTCAAGTGTTTAACCAAGGAACTCAGGACAGAATCTGAAAAGAGAAGCGGCAAGGGAGGGCTGGAGAATGCGGACCATCTGTGGATCCTGAAGGGGAGTCAGACAGAGTAGCACGTGAGAAGGCCTTTAACAGCACTGCTGACTGTGAAGACGAAGCCGGCCGTGTGAGAGGGCTCCGGGAGCACAGTGTCCCCTGGACATCAAAGAGCAAGGAAACGGGTGTCTCAGATGTCAGGGACTGAATTCTGCGCAACTGGAATAAACCTCACAGCAGATTTTCCCCCAGACTCTCAAGATATAAACAGAGTACACCTTGATTGTGGCATCGCTGGATCTCAAACAAAGAACAGAGTTAATCTTGCCCGGTTTCTGACCCACAGACTTGTGAGTAATAAATGTGTTTCATTTAAAGCTGCTAAGTCTGTGGCAGTCTGTTACAGTAGCAAGAAAAATTAATACAGAGGCAGAGGCGAGAGTCCAAGAGGCAGTGCTGATTTCCAGAGTCATCTCAGTTTTGAGAATGAGAATTCTGTGACTCAGCTGGCCAAAGAAAATCCACCAGAAGATTCTCATGCCGACGGCAGACATGTGGCACATTTTGGTATCCTCTGATTTGAAGCCATTTTTACCAGACACTTAGAAACAATTAAAGAAAATAGAAAAACAAGAGAACTACAATTCTGATTTTAGGCCAGAGCAGAAGTAAACAGGGCCATGAATTACAGCTGCATTATATTAGTGCCTCAGGGGCATCACACTCACATCTAAATATGATGATGCCTTTGCTTTTCTGTTTCAGGGTCTACTGCTGCACAGCCGACGCCTCCAAACCTGGCCATGTAAACCACCACTCACCATATCCTGGGATTCTGAAGCTCTGTATGATATGGCACAGCTCCGATAGCTGGCAAGGTCCAACATTACCTCACTTACAAGGCTGGCAGGTTGGTGCTGACTATTAGCTATGAGCTAGGCTGGGTCTGAAGACCAGTGCCTGTTATTTTTTTCCTATGGATCTAGATTGGGTCTCTCACAAAATAGTGACTGAAACTCCAGGGGAGGAATCCCAAAAGGACCAATCTCAACGTGCAAGTACTTACCAAGCTTCCCCTTGCATCACACTTGCTAATATCTTACTGGTGAAAGCCACTCACGTGTCTAAGTCCAGAGTAAAGGTGAGAAGGAAAGAGACCTCATTTCATGGTAAGAGAGGTAGCAAGCACACATCAGAAGGGGGTGAACTGCCAAAAGCACTTTGGGGAATAGCTACCAGTCCATCCTGAAGGAGATCAGTCCTGGGTGTTCATTGGAAGGACTGATGCTGAAGCTGAAACTCCAATACTTTGGCCACCTCATGGGAAGAGTTGACTCACTGGAAAAGACCCTGATGCTGGGAGGGATTGAGGGCAGGAGGAGAAGGGGACGACAGAGGATGAGATGGCTGGATGGCATCACCAACTCTATGGGCATGAGTTTGAGTAAACTCCAGGAGATGGTGATGGACAGGGAGGCCTGCTGTGTTGCGATTCATGGGGTCGCAAAGAGTTGGACACGACTGAGCAACTGAACTGATTACACAACTCTCCTTCATAACCCACAGTCTCACTTCACCACTTTCATGCTATCAAATACATATCTAAGTCTTTTTCAAGGAAAGCACTACAGTATTTCCTCATTTATTAGATATTTAACATGTTCAAAATTGTGATTTTTTTTCTTTTACTTTGAATGGGTTTTGTATGTAACCCAAAATTACATGAGTCTGGAAGAGTCTATCATGAACACTATTCTCCTATAGGCTTTGTTATTTTTATTATAAAGTATTTCCATAATATGCTGCCTTTAAGGACACCAAAACATTACAAGAAAGATTCAAGGGCTATTTTATGTATTTTTTAAAATTCATGTGTTATCTCTCCTCTAATGGTTACACTAGGTCTCTAAAAAAATACACACACACACACACACACACACACACACACATAATACCCTTTGTAAGTCATTTTCCCTAAATTTTCTCTCTCAATATAGCAAAAGGTAGGTGAATTATGTTGATACTTTCAAAGAACCAAATTTAGGTTTAGTGTTTGTTTGTTTGTTTGTTTTGCTATTTTTCTATTCTCTATTTTATTTCTATAAACCAAATATTTGATCTTCAAAATGTATGATGCAAATATTGACAGACTTGAAGGGAGAAACAGATGTACAATAATAGTTGAAGACTTTAGTACTCTACTTTCAATAATGAATAGAACAGCCAAACAAAGATCAGTAAGGAAACAGAGGACTGAGCAATAATTTGATCCAACAGACATATACAGAACACTCTAAGCAACAGAACACCCAAGCAGAACACATATTTTGCTCAGGTGCATGTGGAACATTCTCTAATCTATACTGTAGGTGACAAAGCAAGTCCTGGTAAATTTAAAAGGACCGAAAGCATGCAAGCTATATTTTCTGATCACAATTAGAAAACAATAAAATGAAATAAAATTAAAAATTGATATATGAAAATTAAACACCACACCCCTAAAAAACCAATGGGTCAAAGAAGAAATAACATGGAAAATTAAAAATTATCTTGAGACATGAAAACAAAAATACAACAGAAGTTATGGGATTCAACAAAAGTAATGCCAAGAGGAAAACTTATAGGTATATAAACGCTTATATTAAAAAAGAAATAGATCTCAAATCAACTACCTTAACTTACACCTTAAAAAAACTAGAAAAAGAAGAAACTAAACCCAAAGCCAGAAGAAAACAAAATGATAAAGATTAAGTCAGAGATAGAACAGAGAATAGAAAAATAACAGGGAAAATCAATGAAAGCAAGAGTTGGTTCTTGAAAAAAAAATCAACAAAATTGATAAACATTTAGCTGGGCTGACTCAGAGAAAAAGAAAGAAGACTTAGATAACTAAAATTACAAATGAAAGAAGGGACATGATAGCTGATGTTTGTCAGAGGAGGTCATTGAGAGGCTGTGACCACCCACTGGCCCATGAGCTGAACGCAGGCAATCCAAGATTCCTCATCCCCTTCCCTGTGCATAGAATGTATGCTCAGCCCATTGTTCCCAAAGTTGGAGCTGTCTCAAGGATACAACATAGAGACTAGAGTATGGTTGTTGAGACCACAGTATACATGATTGAGCCCTGTCAAGTCTTCTACGTAGGCTTTAAGATTCTGGCAGGCAGGTGTGGAGATCTACTCATCTTGAGGCAACTATGACAAGCACCATAAACAATTTCTCTGCTCATTAAACCTACCACCCACCCATCTGGGGTGTCTGCCTCTTCCTATTTGCCCTTTGAGTACAGGGTCCAGTTCTGTATTTCACCTGAGGAACTCCTGAGATTTTGAACCAACAATTTTATAGAAATAAAAAGGATTATAAGAAAGTACTATCAACAGTTGTATACCAAGTAACTTTATAATCTGCATGAAATGGACAAATTTCCTAAAAACACATAACCTACCAAGACTGACTCGTAAGGAAACAGAAAATATAAACAGATCTGTACCGTATAATTTTCTCATATGAGGTACGTAAAGTAGTCAAATTCATAGAGACAGAAAGTAAACTGATTGCTAGCGGGTGAGAATGGGGATGGTAAGGGAGTTGTGTTCAATGGACATAGATTTCAGTTCTGCAAAATGAAAAGTTATGAAGATCAACAGTTGTGCCCACTGTACAATAATGTGCTTAATACTGATGAACTACACACTTAAAAATGGCTAAGGTGTTTATTATTGAGAGAAGGCTTGCATACCCCCAAATTCATGGTGCAGCTCTTACTAACAATATGATGATATTTGGAGGTGGGGCCTTTGGGAAGTAATTAGGTTTGGATAAAGCCATGAAGGTATGGCTCCCATGACAGGATGGAACCAGGTACAAAAAAACAACTGAACAATGTTAAACGTCTCAGTTCAGTTCAGTTCAGTCACTCAGTCGTGTCCGACTCTTTGCGACCCCATGAACCACAGCACTCCAGGCCTCCCTGTCCATCACCAACTCCCGGAGTCTACCCAAACCCATGCCCATCGAGTCGGTGATACCATCCAGCCATCTTATCCTCTGTCGTCCCCTTCTCCTCCTGCCCCCAATCCCTCCCAGCATTAGGGTCTTTTCCAATGAGTCAAGTCTTCATATGAGGTGGCCGAAGTACTAGAGTTTCAACTTCAGCATCAGTTCTTCCAATGAACACCCAGGACTGATCTCCTTCAGGATGGACTGGTTGGATCTCCTTGCAGTCCAAGGGACTCTCAAGAGTCTGAAGTTAAATAAGCAGGGTGACAATATACAACCTTGACGTACGCCTTTTCCTATTTGGAAACAGTCTGTTGTTCCATGTCCAGTTATAACTGTCAGGTGGTCTGGTATGCTCATCTCTTTCAGAATTTTCCACAGTTTATTGTGATCCACACAGTTGAAGGCTTTATGTAGTCAATAAAGCAGAAATAGATGTTTTTCTGGAACTCTCTTGCTTTTTCGATGATCCAGCAGATATTGGCAATTTGATCTCTGGTTCCTCTGCCTTTTCTAAAACCAGCTTGAACATCTGGAAGTTCACGGATCACGTATTGCTGAAGGTTGGCTTGGAGAATTTTGAGCATTACCTTACTAGTGTGTGAGATGAGTGCAATTGTGTGGTAATTTGAGCATCCTTTGGGACTGCCTTTCTTTGGGATTGGAATGAAAACTGACCTTTTCCAGTCCTGTGGCCACTGCTGAGTTTTCCAAATTTGCTGGCATATTGAGTGCAGCCCTTTCACAGCATCATCTTTCAGGATGTGAAATAACTCAACTGGAATTCCATCACCTCCAGTAGCTTTGTTGGTAGTGATGCTTTCTCAAGCCCACTTGACTTCACATTCCAGGATGTCTGGCTCTAGGTGAATGATCACACCATTGTGATTATCTGGGTCATGAAGATCTTTTTCGTACAGTTCTTCTGTATATTCTTGCCACCTCTTCTTAATATCTTCTGCTTCTGTTATGTCCATACCATTTCTGTCCTTTATCGAACCCATCTTTGCCTGAAATGTTCCCTTGGTATCTCTAATTTTCTTGAAGAGATCTCTAGTCTTTCCCATTCTTTTGTTTTCCTATATTTCTTTGCATTGATCACTGAGGAAGGCTTTCATATCTCTCCTGGCTATTCTTTGGGACTCTGCATTCAAATGGGAATATCTTTCCTTTTATCCTTTGCTTTCACTTCCGTTCTTTTCACAGCTATTTGTAAGGCCTCCTCAGACAACCATTTTGCCTTTTTACATTTCTTTTCCATGGGGATGGTCTTGATCCCTGTCTCCTGTACAATGCCAAGAACCTCCGTTCATAGTTCATCAGGCTCTCTATCAGATCTAGTCTAGATAGAGCTAAAATAGGATAAAAAATCAGCAATATAGCCTTTCAGGATCTTGCTTTGATATCTAAGAAAGACCACTGGAATGTGATATAATTAATTCTGATAAGATGTCCTTCTTTATCAGAATGTATGAGAAATTACGCATATGAGATTGGATAACATCTGAAAGTACTTATTATTTATGAAAGTGAAAGTGAAGTTGCTCAGTCGTGTCTGACTCTTTGCGACCCCGTGGACTGTAGCCCACCAGGCTCCTCTGTCCATGGGATTCTCCAGGCAAGAATACTGGAGTGGGTTGCCATTTTCTTCTCCAGGGGATCTTCCTGACCCAAGGATCGAACCCACGTCCCGCATTGCAGGCTGACGCTTTAACCTCTGAGCCACCATGGAAGCCCTTTATTTATAATTAATGACTATCTCCAGAATCCACAACATCATTGAAAGCATAGGACAAATTATATCGAATGCAATTCCTAAACTTTGACTGCTCTTTGAACTGTTAAAAGCTAGTAACAGCTACTATTAATTAAATGCTTTACCAGGTTCCACAAAATTTGCTAAGTCCTTTGCCTATCTTAGTGAATTCAATTCTTACAATTTTATAAGAAAAGTTACATAAAAAGGAACTGAAAATTCTGAACTTTGCTTAACTTTCTAACATCTAACAAATGTTACTGTTTCTTTCCTTTCTTTCAGATATTTTTACATGAATAACATTAAATAGCCCTTGCTATTATAAAGTATAACTAGTATATCAATTGTACAAATAAGGATACACAGGCACAGAGATGAGCAGTGGCTCTTGGGTCATAGTTCAAGTAAGCCTTCTGCCAGGATTTGAGTGCAGAGAGTCTGACTCTAGAGCTTATCTTCTGAATTCTGCTGCACTGATCTAAGCAGTGACATACAGAGGCTAGATGAGCTCTACACTTGGTTCTTACTGTATGTCTGTTAACCCTACTTTAGTCATAGGTTAGCCTTAACAAAGTATTTCTTCAACCTCTAATGTGCTGGAATGTTCTGACAGTTCACTCTTAGAAAAATTCACTTCCCCCCAAATCAACGATGCTCTTAAAAATTACACTAGAATGCAATTTTCTGCTTACAAGCAAAGTGACATACTTGTCTAAAATAGGACAATGAAAGATAATTTTGATTCCTTTAAAGAAGTGTCCTTGACAATGACTATTTTTATTATACATTGAAACATTAGCAAAAGACTGAACTCAAGCTCCTTTCTTGACAGAGAATTGAGTCACTAGTGTGGAATCAGTGAATATGTACTATGGCTGTGATACTGACATGAACTCATCAGTGGTTCCTTCAATGTGAAGTGCATTTGCTTCGTGTAATATCTTATTACCCTAGATGGTATTTCCAATGAATTATAAAAAAATAATTGACCTCCCTGGTGGTTCAGTGGTAAAGAACTGTGGGTTTGATCTCTGGGTCGGGAAGATCTGCTGGAGAAGGAAATGGCAACTCATGCTAGTATTCTTGCCTGGGAAATCCTATGGACAGAGGGACCTGGTAGGCCTCAGTCCATGGGGCTGTAGAGTCAAACATGACCAAGTGACTGAACAACAACAAAAATAATTCTTTCTTTAAAAAGATACTGAACAACAACAACAAAAAGATACTGAACCTCATATGCATTGTTTCCATGAAAATTCCTAACTAAGGAATTTCCCTAAGCCCACCTGCTGAGGCCACACCTGTAGTGCACATTAAAAGCCTAACTATTACCCTGTACTTCTCTCTCACTAAATTGCTCTTATCTCATTCAAAAGTTGGCATCCAGAGGGGGTAGCTTGGGACCACTACCTTGTGGGGCTTTGCACTGCTACTGCCTTTTGCCTTTACCCTTATTCCCTTCCCAGTCCCAAGTGCCTATGGCTTCTCTTCATGGAGGAGTGGCAGGAATCGTTGAGTTCCCACTGCTCCAAAAAATGGTGATGTCACAGTTTCTCCACACAGCCTCCTGAGGCCTCTGGTCTGTGGTTGGGTGCTCCAGAGGAGCAGTGAAGTGGGCGCAGCCCCAGAGGGCTAAAGCAGGCCCAGCATCTCTTGCTACAGCACCTGGCCTTTTCCTTTCCCATACACTCAAACATGTTGATCTCTTTTCACTCCCTGCTTGTCAGACATATTTCATTCAGAACACTGCCTATGTTTTTTCTCTGAGAGTGTTTCTCAGCACTTCTGGACCAGGCTTGTGACACTCTCTGGGCGTCTTACAGAGAATCCATAAGGTGCAGATGTCAGTAACTGGTCATCAGTTCTGCCCCCAGGGCTGTGGTGGAGTAATTTATGCAGGGGTTGCCTCTCTTCAGCTCTGGTTCTTACCAGACCCTCAAGTTTACTTTCAACTACTTTCTCACTGCATTTCAGCCCATGTAAATTTTTTGATAATCATCAACAAATTAATTTTTTTCAAGGGAGACAGATAAGGTGGCATGATATGCAATTATCAGAGTTAAATATATTCCTTTGTGGCAAAATTAGCTTATTTGTATGTTTAGAATAAGTTATCTGATATACACCAGATAACTGTCATGTACACCAATGAATGCACTTTTTGAAAACCATTTTTTTTTTTACAAACGGGTTTATAAAAAGCTTATCATTCTTACTACATTTTCCTTACAATCTCACTTTAAAAATAAGAATTCTTTATTTGGTTCTTTACAGTTTTATGTCAAATGAAATGTTAGGTACTAAATCAATCTTAGATACATGCTTTTCTGTCATCTGAAAGTTTTAAACATTACAAAGCCCATATCACTTCATTTACCTCCAAGTCTTGCTCTGATGGAAATGTCTGGTACTGCCCTGGAATTCCATCTTCTGTCCTGTTTCAGTTCTTCTAATAAAATGGTTTTCCTTTTTAATGTCGTCTGAAATCCTGTGTCTGGCCTGGGAACTCGATGTTGAGGTTTCACATCACTGAAATCTACTAGGCTCGGTATGGTCCTGCCAACACCAGGCTTTAGGTCAGCATCGCCACCAGGACTCAAAAACCCTGAACAGGCGTCATGTAAGGGTACGTCATCCCGAAGTGGAAATAATGGATAATCTGGTCCATATGGCGGTGGATATGGATAGTGTAAATGATAGTCCGGCAGGACCGAAGGGGGATAAGGGTGAAATTTAAGAAAAGTAGGGTTGCATTTCTTCTCCATTCTGCCATAGTCATGTCTGTCCTCAACTCCTTTCACAAAAGGCATGTTCAGCTTTCTTAAGAGAGCACAGTAGTGGGGGTAATCTATGTTCTCAACAGCCTTTGTTCTTGAAAGGAAGGATCCTTCAGAGATACTTATCTTTCCAGGTATGAGCTGTGAATATGTATCCATGGCCTCTCACTTTAAACTTGTGGATGACAGTATATTAATTGTTTCTGATGGCTCCTTTCTCTTTAAGGAAAAAACTGTTATATTTCTAATCACTGAACACTGGTTAAACTAACAAGATTACTGATTTTCCTTTCTCAATGCCAAAAGAGTAGAATTTTTATTTTTATTTTTAAGGCAAATATTTTTTCTCCACTAAAGGAAGTAAGGAACCAGCACAGAAAAAACAAAAAGCAGAGCCCAGGTTGCCTGGCAACAGTTGGAACTCCAACACACTGTATCACTATATACAGCATAATTTAATTCCTAGGTAACACACTGTATCACTATATACATTATAATGTAATTCTTAGGAAAACAATTAAAATAGACTTATTAGTAAAACCTCCATGATAGTTTCTTCAGCACTGCTTAGGAAAACTGTGTTCATTTATTTTTCAATTTTTTCATAAGTTGATACTTTATGGGTAAATGATATTCAGTAAAGGGTATAAATAAAGCAGTTAATGAATAGGCAACATATTTTTTAAAGTATTCTCTCATATATTTTTTTACCTCATAGATATAATAAACTACAAAACATGCTACCTATATAAATGTAAATTAAAAAGTGCAAAAAATGAACCTATATTACACTAGTTAAATCAATATATCTAATTTTAAAAGAAACTTTAAATTTATAATCAAAGCATGGGTTTATCTTTTACATGTACTATATTAGCCTTACTTACCTTTTTTCTACCATGATGGACAGAGTAAGAGCAATGAGGTTCTTAAACTCATTTCAAGAAAACTACAGTAAGCACCAGCTATTAGCTCAATGCAAAAAAAAAAAAAAAAAAAAAGACATCATCAATACACTGTTCATTTAATAGCTCATTTCAACTAGATAACTTGGTCTTGCACGAAAACAGCTATCACAGGAATTCCACAAAGTAGAAGGTGGGCATGAAACTTACACTATCTTTATTGGAATAAAAAATGCAAATACAAAGGACAGACCTACCTTCTGATTTTCAGCAATCAGCTTTCATCTTTAGAATCACACCATGTATTAACTAAGATTTCCAATATTATTTCATATTCTTAGGTTGAATATTAGGAATTTACATAGCAGACTAAGGCAGGAGGGACTGGTGAATTGAAGCAAATTCTTGATGACAGAAAACAGATTTCAGGATTTTGCATGGTATGCTAGTCTTCTCTACCCTTTATTTACTAGAGTTCCACAGTCCAAGGTCATTTGCTAAAAATCATGTTGTGCAGGTTGACTTGTTTATAAAAATTAAAGAAGATTTAGCAGAATACATACGAAACACAGTGAGTTATTGAGTACTAGTCACTGAAGTTTGTCTTCTAGGTGTGCTCAAACAAGTGCAAGACCTTGACCAAAATGCTGGTTGGATCTAAATTATCCAGGTCTCTGTTTACTAAGACAAGCCCAGACAGGTAAAATTCAATTTAGGAGTTCATACAGATTAGCAGGCAATTCTAAAGAAGTGAATCTACTCAGTGGAATAAACTGTACTGCACACTTTTTACCTATTAACACCTGCATAAATATGGCCAGAAAATCCAGGGAATATGCAGAAATTTCAATTCCCTTTGCTAATAAGAACCAAGGACTTCTTAAGAAGTAGTCCTTAAGAAATGTCTCCATCGTGGTCCTGGTCCTGGTCTCAAAAGAACTCTGCACTCCTTTCTACTACATGTTTCCTTTTCAAAAAAATTTATGACTACTGGAATGCTTACATTATACTGGGATCTAGCCCAGCAGTTGAAGTTAAAATATTTGCAAAACAGACACAATCCTAGCTCTGAAGATACAGTATGTACAGCAGTCCAGCTGAAAGAGAGCAAGGAGTCTACCTGCGGTGCAACCAAGATACACCCGAAGGTATCACTACTGGAGTCACTCTACCAAAGAAGTGCGGAGGTTAGGCTGTCAAGTTTGAAATTCCTCTTGCGCAATGGACACCCAGAGATGGCTTTCAGTCCATTCTAGTTCACTCATAGCTTCCTTTTATACATGGTTATTAGGCATTATGTCTTCAGTTGCTTAAATTCCATTCATCCAAGTATTTGAATTAATTGCATATTTGCTTCTATTGTAGCTCTGCTCATGTTAAGTAAATCCTTTCTGCTGCAGAAATGCAGAACACTCTAACTTGTTCTGGCTATAAACGAACGCCCACTTAGCGGGGACAGGTGGTTTTATGCATCTTTCTAAACTCAGGTGATAACGTTGCATGCAGTCAATTCCATATAAGGTTGTTTCCCCATTCTTCCCGCCCAGGCTCTTCCAGGGGCTCAGGGTCCACTTCCACTCTCGCCTGCTGTGTGGGGCACCCATCTCTCAGTTCAGTACATCTCAAGGTACCGGCAGCCAAGGTCAGGAGAAGCAGGCAGCCCTCCGGCGCTGCACCAGCACTCACTTCCCTCACTCTCACCACGCAGTCCGGGTTTGGCCTCGACACTCAGATTCGGCCAGGCAGTCCCTCGGCCCACGGACCCCCGGGAACTGTGGAGCCCGCGGCTCTTCTCTGGCTCCAGAACCTTCCATAGGTCTTCTATGCAATCTGGGTTCCCTGAGCTGCTGCGACGTCCTGAACACGAACAACATCTAGATGCTCCATGGGCGTCGGGCCGACGAGGCCCACTGGCTGAACCTACCTGTCAGCCCCGCCCCCGCCCTGCCGGAAACGACCGCCCTCTTTCCGGCCCGCATCCCTTCAGCTTCCGGAGGGCGGGTGTGCGCGCGCCGCCTAACGACCTTCTGGGCCGACGGTCGGCAGGCGGCGGCGGCGTGTGAATGGAGGCCTCGGCCCCGGGCCGGGCGCGGCGGGGCTGGCGGCGTGTGGTCCTGGTGGTCTCCGCGCTGGTGCTCTGGGCGCCCCCGTCAGGTGAGGCGGCGGCGGGCGGCGCAGGGCCGCAGTTCCCGGAGATTTTTGTGTGTCGCACGTGCGCCCTCTGATGGGAAAGCCTGTCTCACGGGTCCCGTCCATATATTTAATAAGATGTAAGTGCTCAGGAACCAAGGACTTGTCACATTTATGTCTAGACGGGCGAGGTTATTGAAACACCCACCGCTCAAGGCTTGAGGTCAGACTGGCTGTTAATAACCCCTAATCAGCCCACGGGTCCTTTGCCAGCTTTCCACAATATTCTGGGCTCTGGATTTAAGTATATTTCAAAACCAGGAGACATCCTGCGGCTTTGTCACTTCCCGTGGACCTGGAGCTCCATCTGTTGGTTTCAGCTATAAAGTACAAAGACTGTGATTTTAAAGTTTTGATATTTTGCTGTCGCCATTTGTTTCCTGCTTTGTATCCAGAAATCCGAGATACTTCTTCACTTTTTCAAAATACAGTTAAGATATTGAAGGGAGAGCTTAATTAAACGGTCGTCATTTAACCAGAAAGGTTTTGGCTGCGTTATTTTGCGTTCAAGTTTTAACCTTTTTAGAAATATTTAATAAAGTGTCTACCAGAATTGAATCACAGAAAGGATAAAAAAGGTGTGTTTAGATAAAAGCTGTGGAGACAAGGGGCGATGAGAAAAGAATCCTACCAAGAATTTGAGTGAGGAAGGGCTGCATATGTAGGCAGGGATAGGAGAACAGAAAGAAATGGAGTGAGTAGATGTTACAAAATATGCCAAAGTCTTGGCATTAGGTGTCCAAAGGTCATTGCAGTGTAAGTAGACAGTAGCCAATAGCCTTTAGTTACTTCTGTAGGAGAAGGATGCTTCCTGACCTTGGCTCATGATCTTATATTAATACTAGATACGACTGTGTATGGTGTGTCTTTTGATCCAAGAACAAGGTCAGGCTTGAGGGTGTAAGACATAGAATAAGAAGGCTGTATCTTACTATGTAAGGTATGAATAGTGAAGGCAACATTTATGTAGCATTTTATAGTTTGTACAATAGTCCATTTAGTTCCTACAATAAATTTAGAATTTAATCTCATTTTACTGATGAGAAAACTGAAGCTCCTGGAGTTTTAAGTGACTTTCCAAACACTCATTAGTGGAAATTGGGATTTAAATCCAGGTCATCTGACTTTGAATATCATACTCTTCTTTGTGCTATACCCACTCTCTGTTAACAACAAAGAGGACTTAAGTCCAAGTTATGTTGCATTTTTTTGTTGTTCTTCTTCTTGTTCTGTGCACACACCTGTGTCCATCACATTAGCTTGTTCAAGGATAACTGAACAATATCATAAATATTTAATGGCTATTTAATATTTGCCATGTGTGAGATACAGTGCCTGGTACAGATTATTATTTTTTTTTCTTAAGTCTTTTATTGCTGGTTTTTGCAGAGTCAAAGCATGACTTACAAAGACCTTCCTAGTATCACCCAGCTTCCTCTTTTGCTTTCCATTCCTGTCTTCTCCAGGTTTAACAAACTCACTTTTTATACTGGTTTCATTGAAATATAATCGATATACAGCGTTGTATAATTTTAAGGTATACAACATGATGAGAAAAAATTGTTTTGTTGTGTTGGAAACTTCGGATTTATTCTCTCAATGGTTCATATATAACTCAGCAGTGTTAATTACATTAATCATATATTTATCATAATTTATATTATTGTATGGCATTACATCCCAAGCACTTACTTGTAACTGAAAATGTGCACCTTTTGACTGCCACCTACTGAATGGGAGAAGATACTTGCAAAGAATATATACGATAAAGGATTAATATCCAGAATATACAAGCAACTTGTACAATGCAACATCAAAAAATGAACAGCCTGATTAGAAAAGGGCAGAGGGTCTAATAGACATTTTCCAAGGAAGACACACAGATGGCTAGTACGGTGTGAAAAGATACTCAGTATCACTAATCGTCAGGGAATGCAAGTCAGAGACAGAGTGAGATATCACCTCCCACCTGTCAGAGTGGCTGTGATCAGAAAGGCAACAAATAAGCATTTGAGAGGGTGTGGAGAAAGGAGTTCTGTGCATTCTTGGTAGGAGTGTAAATTTGTTGTAGCCACCATGGAAAACGGTGTGGAGGGTCCTCAGAAAATTAAAAAATAGTACTACCATATGACCCAGCAGTACCCCTCCTGGGTGTTTATCTGAAGAAAACAAAAACACTAATTAGAAAAGGTATATGAACCCCTGTGTTCATTGCAGCACTACTTAATAGCCAAGATATGGGAACAACGTTAAGTGGCAATCAGCAGATGAATGGATAATGAAGATATATGTACACAGAATAAACTCTTACTCAGTTATAAAGAAAATAATGAAATCTTGCCGTTTGTGAGCAACATGGATTTTGACCTAGACAGTATTATGCTAAGTGAAATAAGTCTGACAGAGAAAGACTAACACTGAATGATTTCACTTCTATGTGGAATCTTAAAAAAAAAAAACAAATAAGCAGACATCAAAACATAAACAGTTGCAGACTGAGAAAAAACAGGTGTTTGCCAGATGGAAGGAAAGAAATAGGTGAGGGAGATTAAGTGTTACGAAATTCTAGTTGCAAAATAAATGAGTCACAGTTTTGAAATATACAGTGAGTATAGGCAATAGTATGTAATGTCTTTGTATGGTGATTTATCATAACTAGGCTTACTATGGTGATAATTTTTAAATCTATACAAACATCAAATCACTGTGTGTATAACAGGAATTAGCATAGTTTTGTGGATTAATTATATTTCAAAAACAAACTCATGGAAAAAGAGATCAGATTTGTGGTTACCAAAGGAAAGGGAGTGACAGAATTGGATGAAGGCAGCCAAAAGATACCAATTCTTGATAAATTGACACAAACATTGATCCTACTCTTGAGCTTATAATGAAATAAGGAAAATTATATCTATGCATGAAAAACTGTGATACAATGTAGAGTGAGTGTTGCAGATGATGTACTAAAGAGATAAGAATGAGGAAGGCAAACGGAAGGTTTGAGGGAGGAAGGACTTACGATGTGTGTCCTGAAGGGTGGGGATTTGGATTTTTTAAAATGAGAGTATTCTAAGTGGATGTAGAAAAATTTGGAGCTGAGATAAACAGGGGAAGCAGTGGGTATATTAATTTCATTGAAGCTGGAACAGGTCAGGTACCAGATGTCAGATGTTGATTCATGGCTTCCCTTAAACAAACATCAAATATTGTAAGACAGTGTACTATTTGAATGTTTTGAAATCTCTGGTGAACCAGACTGTTGATTATTTCTGTCTTTTTTTTTTTGATAGTTGGATATTTGGATCGATTACCAAGAAATGCTAACTTGCCCCAAGATTCAGTGAAAATAGTGGGATCACCAAATATTCCAGGTATTAATAGATTATCAGTAATGTAAGAAAGTTTTAAAATTTAAATTTTGTTTTAAATTTTGTCAATCTTTTGCCAAAAACTAATGTTCCCTATATTGTTGTCTCCTATGGCCCTTTTCCTTCTGTTGAAACGGATTATAAGTTGTTTCCACAGATTTAGATTCATATAGTCCAATTCTGTTTGCTGTAACTGCTTCAAAGTACAAAAATAATTATTTCTAAAAGTTATCTAATTAAAGTTGCCTAAAGTGTTTTTGCTTGTATAATAAACATTATGTGTATGCAGTTCTTATGCTAAAATTTTTTAAAATGAGATTTATATATCATGAAGATTGTGGATTAATAAGATTTTGCAGTAATAACATGAGGTAAAGCATCTGTAACTTTTTTGTATTTTTTAAAATGAGGCAAATCCACTTATTTAAAGTATCTAATCGAGTAGTTTTTAGTATATTCTCCAGATTGTGAAATCATCAGCACCATGTAATTTCACAACATTTTTTCATCACTGTAGAAATAAAACCACCATACCCATTAAATAGTCACACTCCAGCCCCTGGAAACCACTAATCTACTTTCTGTCTCCATGAATTTGCCCATTATGGATGTTCCATTTAAGTGAAATCACGCTGTGTGCTGTTTTGTGTCTGGCTTCTTTCACTTAGAATGGTGTTTTCAAGGTTCATTTATATTGTATAATGTGTTAGTATTTCACTTATGGCTGAATAATATCTCATTGAATGGATATACTACAATTGTGTATCCCTCAACTGATGGATATTTAGGAAGTTTCCACTTTTTGACTAATGCTGTTATGAACATTTCTGGACAGGTTTCTATGTGAACATATGTTTTCAGTTCTCTTGGATCTGTACCTTGGAGTAAAATTGCTGGGACATACGGTAACTGTGTTTAACATTTTGAGGAACTTCCAAACTATTTTTCAAAGAGTCTGAACTGTTGTACTTTGACACCAGAAATTTGTGAGGATTCAAATTTCCCAGCATCCACATTAACATTGATTATTGTCCAAATTTTAAGAGTGTAGTTATCCTAGTGTGTATGAAGTGGATTCTCATTGTGGTTTTTATTTGCATTTCCATATTTGACTAATAATGTGGAACCTCTCTTCATGTGATTATTGACCACTTGGATAGCTTCTTTATGAAATGTCTTTTCAAGTCCTTTGCCCATTTTTTAATTTGGTTGTTAATTTGTTATTGAGATGGAAGAGTTTTCTTTTTTTTAAATATGTTCTGTATACTACAGCATTGTCAAATATTTTCTTCTGTGGATTTTTGTTTTCACTTTTTAATAGTGCTTTTTAAAGTACACATTTTACATGAGAAGATACTCGAGGAGATAATAGCTGAAAACTTCCCTAAAATGGGGAAGGAAATAGCCAACTAAGTCCAAGAAACCCAGAGAGTCCCAAACAGGATAAACCCAAGGCGAAACACCCCAAGACACATATTAATCAAATTAACAAAGATCAAACACAAAGAACAAATATTAAAAGCAGCAAGGGAGAAACAACAAATAACACACAAAGGGATTCCCATAAGGATAACAGCTGATCTATCAATAGAAACCCTTCAGGCCAGAAGGGAATGGCAGGACATACTTAAAGTA